TGTTACTTTTCACCGTCAATTCTTTGCGAGCACACGAAACCGTTTCAGTAATAAATTTTATTCAAAAAGGCAAAAATGATAATGCGGTGATTAAGGTTATGATACGATATGTAAATAAATTCCTCGAAGCAATACCGCTCACAATATTACCTTTCTCCAAGCCTTCCTCTTCAATTACTGTCCTGAAAATCTCAACATTTTAAGAAATTATAAATTTTTTGCAGCAAAAGAAAAAAATTCAGATGAAGGAATGAATATTTCAAATATTTCTCTCCTTCAACTAATTAATATGAGGAATAATGAAAGTAATTGCAGTACCAAATATTACCATCTATTTACTTATTAAATTATTGAGATTATTTACAATTTTTTTTATTGAAATACTGCAAGGATTAATTTTTATTTCATAAGATAAATTTTTGTTTATAAATTCGCTAAATGATTTACCATGCATTAGTTTTGTTAATCAAACTTGGTATTAATGTTGTGCCACGTGAAATTATTGGAATTAGCATATCCTGAAAATAAAATAAAGGTTTTTTAGTCAAGTTATTTAAAATTAACTTTTTTAAGAGTGCGTATTCTTTCAAATTTATAATTTAAACATAAATATTTTATATTTTGGCTTACATTATTTGATGCAATTTGAGATTTTATGTTCACTGATGGAATAACCGAGCGTGTATTTTCGTTAATCAATGAACGACCTTTATCATTACTGCAATAAATGTTTGAAATAATTGTACTAATTATGATTTACAAATACAAGTTACAGTAATAAAAATGCAGTGATATTATGATAATTATAATAATTATGCGAATAATCACTAGATCAAATAAAAAAGAAACTTTAAGTTATTTGGATTTTGGTGGTTTGGATTGTAAAACAATTACCATACAATAATACTATGACAGTTATTGTCATAATTGCTATAATAGAATAAATTAAATTATAATTTAAATTGTAATACAGTTATAATCCTAGCAGTAATGAAGAGATAAGCTTGTTTGTTATAAAAATTTTAATATGATAACCTTTGAAATGATTTTTCAACTTGTCCCAACAAACTGTCCTTGTTGCAGTAATGTCCTAAGCAGAAGCAATAAGCCTGTGAACCATCCAATGTTCGCATACAAACAAATTTTCGTAATAATATTTCATTAAATGAAATTTCACTTTCTTCCATATCCGTGCTGCATCTTTTTTCCAATTTGTATAATTCTAAAAAAAACAAAAAATAAATTAATAAAAAAAAAAACGGCAAAGCAATTCATAAAATTGGATTATTTTAAATCTTCAGATAAATTAAAATATGATTTAAAAATTTG